GTTTTAACATGTGACGTTTGGAGTGTCGTACACAATTTGCCGAATACAGTTTTACCTGTGACTTGTCATTTGATTGATCAAACGATGTGGACAATGATTAAACGAGCAATTATGTTTGAATGATTAGATTCAGATCGTTCACCTTTAATTACTTTTAATATGTTATTCAAATTATATATACAAAATATTAGAAAATGATCAACCACTTTGCACACATTTTTATCACATCATTAATATAGTCATAAACAATGGAGTGACAACATTTGTGATGCCAGTTAGCCTCATAATCGTTTTTTTAACTTCTATTGGATGTTGAATTTTGTCATCTGATCTAATTAACATTGGATAACTGATCTCATCCAATCAAATGGATGATTGGATCGGTTCGGTTTCATCCATTGGATACTTTTATTGGAAATCCAATGGGATTGGATCCATCCAGTGTGTTGATTCAATCCAATTCTCCAACAATGATACAAATTAATTAATCACTTTTAATATGTGTTAAAACCAACAAAAGGGAAGTTAAAAATTCGAAGCCTCACATAAAACAAATTCCGATTTAAGCAATTTGAAAAGAAATTAATTTGATGGCGGTTGGATAATGGTTGGATGGACAACTGGATGGTCATCAGATGATTAGTTGGATGGGTAATTGGATGTTGATCGGTTCGATTTTGATCGTCCGAGAACCGACCGATCCATATCGGATGTTGAAATTTTCAATCTGATCCGATCCAATTATAATTGAATATACAGTTATAAAAAAAGCCCTTGAACCTAGGAAGCATATTTTGATTGGATTGATCGAAGTTGTCAGTATTACATTTTTGCTAGTTATTAATTATTATGAGCAAATGCGGGCGTGTTTTGAAAAACATGATCGGTTATAGGTTTGTTTTAATTTCGTTTGATTAGATTGGGCTTCTAGAACTGGGTGGGCCTAACATGATGTGTCAAAATAGAGATGGTCAAAAATTGGACCTGAACCGGGACCAAATTAGTCATGACCCTAATCTGCCTTTCCATAACCAGTGCTGGCGTAACCGATTTCTATCCCGACCAAAATACCAAGGTCTGGTCTCCATATCCTTTATAACCGGGTCTGGCTGAAATTGCTCATTATTTTTTTCTCCCAAAAATCAATTTTGAACGGAAAAAAATTGTTTGTTTTTTGGCAATGTCTTATTAAAATACACTTTAAAATCTATAATTCGGTCATTCAAATACACTTTAAATGTCGTTTTTAAGACATAAATGTTAGAAATGATACAAATAAAAACATTCAGGGTTCGGGTGGTCATGACAATTACAGTAATGTTGATTTTCTTTTATTATCTTGATTCTTTTCCATGAACCTTCCTTGAAATTTTTGCAAACACTGACCCGGCCCTTACTCCAATCTCTGCCTCGATTGGTGGCACTTATGGTTCTTAAGGTTTTTTATTCCGAAAAAAGGGGAAAGCCGTGGAGACGGCAGACTCGCTAGCCAGGTGCAATTCCGGGAGGAGTCGGTAGTTGGGCACTGGATCCCTCGGACTTGGAGAACGTGTTTTTATTTTAAAACGTGATAGCGCGTTATTGGGTTATTCGAACAAGTTTTGGGTCTAATATTGGGCTGATGGGCTGCCTTACTTTTTCAAAAGTGTGGCTATGGACATACAATGACCCATCTTTGCAAAATCACTCGATGTTTTATTTTAATAAGCAGAGATAAATACATATTTAGTTCTCGTAGTTTGACGGTTTTACGAAATTGGTCTCTAAACTTTATTTATTGCAAAATCGGTCTCGTCGTTTGCACATTTATAACGATTTACGTTAACATTTCTCTCTCTCTCACTCTTTCATCGTACCTAGCCCCAATAAAACATGTCGACGGCTATGAAGTTAATTTACAAACAAGCAGTTTCTTACCTCCATCTATGTCAGTGTGACCCTCCGAAAAATCAGTTCAAAATGAACCATTCGACGTTGTAACCCACAATCCAACGCTATGACCCTCCATCTCTGACGTTGTTACCCTAAAAAATACATTCAAGATTTGATGACTTAGGTGCATCGTCATTGAAGTCAACACCATGGGTTCATTGTCGTTCAAGATCCAACACTAAAGGTGTATTGCCATTTTGGATCTGACGTTGTGACTCTCCAAAACCGTCGAAGACCTTCAAGACCATGTTGTACAAAATGTTGTTTATGTTTGATGTTTGTGATTAAATGTTGATTTCGTTTAAATCAGTAAAAAAGAAAAAAAACAAAAAAACAGATAAAATGACTAATTTATTTATAGTTGACGGTATTAGTGAATAACCATTAAGATGAAGGGCCAAATCGTTACAAACGTGCAAAAGAAATTTTGTAATAAATGAAGTTTAATAAGCAAGTTTGTTAAAACCACCAAATCAAAAGGACCGAACCTGTAATTAACTAATAATTACTAAAAAAAATGCTCCACATTTCATAAGTAAAAAATCTAATAATATGTATGGTGCAAAAATACATTTTTGCTATAATTAAATTATATACATACATATATAGAGAGAGAAATGAAAATTCAAACGAAAATGCTAACTATTTAAGAAAATAAAAATATATCGTTAAGGTGCAAAATCACACGTGATTTTACATTAATGGCAAAAAAGATGAAAGTAAATGACTTTTGTCGCGACTAAGTTGTGGGAAAAGTCGTGGCGAATCATGTATGATTTTGTGCGTGAATCATATATGATTTTACACGTTAACGATGTTTTTCTTGTTTTCTTAAATAGTTAGTGTTTTCATATCAACATGCCCCTATATGTATGCTACAAGGATACCAACACAATGCAACGAGAGATATTTCAATCTTAATATTTTGTTTTATTCTTTGTCTACTGTCGATATAATATGATTTTACATAGTTTTGAGAAATCGACGATATTTTTATTTTTTAATAAAAATATAAATTTGAAGATATCATAAAACTTTATTTTTTTTATATTGGTATCAAATTAAATATTTACAAAATATCTCGTTTTTTAGTGTAGTTTTTTAATTCATTTTTTATTATAATTTAATTTAAGTTTAATAATGAAATAATTTATTTTGATTTAATAATACAATTCTTTACAAAGATATTTATTATGATTATCCTATTACATTTTAGAGATTTTGTATTTAAAATGAGATATTTATTTACAGTTCGTTACATGTATAAAAAATGAAGTTTTAATAAGTTGTACTTATCTACAATTTACTTGTAATTTTGAATTTTAAGTAATATATATCAATAAATAGTAGTTTATACATGAAAAAATATTTTTAAGAGTTTTTGTTAAAATTTTATAATATATTAAAAAATTAACTAATTATGCTAGAGTTAAATATCAAGAATATACTAAAAATGGTGACTGATAAATGGAAATTATTATAAAATGGAAATTATTTCATATGCATAAAATATTATATAAATTTGTATATTTTAAAATCATAAACTTTTTCAAGAAAATATTTATGATAATACAAAATTAAATACATAAAAATAAAATATTATAACAAATGAAAATATATATTAAGAAATGGCGTACTAATTAAGACCATGAGACCATTTACCACACGTTTATTCAGATAAGTAAACACCAAGTCGCATTATCTTATCGAATGAATATGATAAAGACCAAAAATCTTATCTGGTAAGAACGAGACAAAGACCAAAAGTCTTATCCGATTAATAAGGACGACGACTCTTATCACGATAAGCGCTTACCGGATGTCACCGTCCACACTGGATTTAAGCCATGTCTTTTAGAACTAGTTGTGTACCAGCGCAATGCGGCGGAAGCCATGAATTTTAACGATTTTGAAGTTCCACTGGTTTTATAAGATAAGATTTACTTGGTCTTTACATATTAATACAATTTGAATAAATAAGAGTTATAGTTCCAATTACAGACAATCGATGACAAAATTTGTATGACAGTTTAAAATCTAATATATTTAAAATCCAACATATTTAAACGACTCCACAAATGTGTTCGATTTACACCAAGAGCAAAGAACCAAGAAACTTGAGTTTTAAGATAAACACTCAAAATCAATAAAGAAAACTATAAATTTGACAGATCATAAGCCATGAAAAGACCAAAAAAGGGTTTTAGAATAAAATTTCAACTGCTTACCCCTCTTTTTTGTCCAGAAACTCAACTTAAGGTTGAATTAATACATGTATATATATTTCAAAAAAACCCAAGAACATATTAATTCAGAACATATTATACAGGGCAATTTGGACAACTTAACCCCAAAATATATACTATATATATGTATAAATAAATAACTATAAAAGTATAAATCGTAAATATTAAAAATATTTTTTCACAGTATATATAACATATAATAATATAATTAAGTAAAAAACTATTCAATATTGGACTTATTTCGAAGGTATTAACGAGACGATTATAATGGTGTAACTTGTTAAAATAAAAATATATTTTTTAAACATGTTTTAATTGATATACGATTATGATATTAATTTGATAAAAGTTTAAAATGAAATATTTAAAAGTAAATGACGTAAAGTAAATTAATTAACTAATTATAAGTGTATAAAATGTAAATTTAAAATTATAATTTAAAAAAAACCGGTTGTGAGAGGGTGAGTGTATGTGAGGAAAGGAGGGGGTGAAAAGATGAAAAAGTAATATAAAAGGTATTTTGGTCATTAGTATTTTAAGACTTTAAAATTTTTGTTAAATTTGTTTTATAAGATAGTATAGATACCTCATACAACGATAATATTAAAGGGGAAAATATGTACACTAAATAGTAGTTGAGGGACCATTTTTGATAATTTGCTTTGAAACGGTGGAAAGAAAATATCTCGATCTTGTTTCCTAGTTCAAGTGTGAAACATGGAGAGAATAAGAAGAAGAAGAAGTATCTCGAACAGAAGCTGAAACGATCACATCCCGTCGCCTATCCCCCAATTCCAAATTCTCGATTCTTTCGATGCGTGACAAATACTAGGTTTCAATCTCTTCTCCGCTAACTGTTTTCTTCAGATCCACCTTCTTTACGATTCCATTAACCCTAATCTCTAAGGGTTTCAACAGATTCCTCCACACTAATCTCAATCTTGCTTGCTGCCTTTGCAGTTCTATCTCTCAATCTTCGTATACAATAGATTTAACTTTCCAATTTTGCATGTGGGTTTCAGGGTTTGGGTCGAGAAACAAAATTACTTTCCTCGATTTGGTGTCTTTTTTTGGGGATTCGGTCAATTCTTGCTTTCGTTTTCATTCAATTACAGCTTATTTTCTTGGTCATAATTCGGTTTGACAATGGTGGGTTCGGAGGCTTTACCTTCGCCAAGGCAGCATGGGGTTACGAAACCCTTGTCTCTAGCGGGTCCATCCGAGGCTGATTTACTAAGAACCAAGAAATTGAATAAGGTAAGTTACGTTAAGATCAATTTGGGTATTCTTGTTTTGATATCATTTCCGGTGATTTTAGTTTCTCTTTATATAACCGATTAAAATCTTGTTGGGTTTCTTGAAGTTCTTGGTAGATGCTGGACTTTATGAAACCAAAGAAGAAGCTGCTAAGAGAGAGGAAGTTCTTGGTCGAATTAAACAGGTTTTTTGAATTCCATTTTTCCAACTTAGAGAATAATGTCTTTGAATTATCCACAATCTTGATCTACTGCCATACTAAGGGGCTGTTTGGTTGGCTTTCCAATAAGTCATGTCTGGATAAAGTTGTTTGTGTGATTAATTTGTCTGTGTAGAGTGTGAAAGTTTTTGTTTGGGAGGCTATTTTTCCATTAATTCTATGGGAGGGGTAGCTTTGGGAAAAAATCGGTTTTCTGCAAAAAGCTCCCCTTAGAAGCTTAGTGAGTAAGTCACTTTTTATAATCCATTACCAAACAATCATGTATAACTTACCGAATAAGCTGAAAGTCTCATTAAGCGACTAACAGACATGCCCTAACTATACTATAATCATGCCATGCTTGTGTATTCTTTGTTTTGAGAGATAACTACACAGATTTCACAAGAATGCTAAGATTAGTAAATATAGCCATCGAAATAAGATCATTTTGTTTTGCTAGCTCAGAAGCTGCCTGTATGACATAGGAAAGACAACTTTTGCACTATCAAATCTTATTTGTGGTAATCATTTGAGATCACCTCATTCTTTAGTTTTAAAGCCTTTTGTTTTTACCAACACCTATGGGTACTAGTGGATGGTGTTAGACCGAAATATATTGGTTATAAATCGTTTATTTTAAATTATAACCAAATTAGTCATGGTGGTTGAACATTAGATCACAATCTTGTATAAGCATCTAAGATTCTAAGGGAGTCATTGTTAGCTGTTAAATGGTTATGAAAGATTTTGTTGATGAAATTCATATATTGCATATATGCCATGGAAATAATATTATTAACTTGGATTCTGAGTTCATGTGAAAATTGTACCCGAGAAGGTTCAACATGAAGTTGGGTGGTTGTGCATTCCCTGCTTTACGAAGTAAAAGTTGAATGAATGGCTTTTTTTCGAATAAAGGTTCACATTTGAAGTTGGTCTGGTTCTCCAATTATGATTTTTTTCAAATAAATGATTGGCTTCTGGCTAATTGTGTACATGATTGATCTAGAGTTGGGTCACTTCTATGGACCATATATACATAGGGAAACCGCAAAAAAATGAAAAACTGAGGAACACTCTGGCGGCCGTATGCACATGTGCGTACAAGTAATTTGTAAAGTTTTTTGATTTCTTTGCACGTTTGCATGTTATGCACGTGTGCATACAAGTAATTTCTAAGCAATTTGTATGGTATGCACACGTGCATAACATGCAAACGTGCATAGAAATTAAAAAACAACTTCAATTACTTGTATACACATGTGCATACCGTCTAGAAAAATGGTTATCGTTCCTTGGTTTTTCATTTTTTGCGGTTTGGCCCTGAACCTGACCCTATATATATGGATGTGTCAATGATTCTGATTATGTGGTCTGTGGTTCATGGCTAAGCTTTTGATAGTCTAATATAACAATTTCTACTTTTGCTTTTAATGATCATCTTTTCACAATATGCTTTCTATAGATTGTAGTTGATTGGGTGAAGCAACTCACTCGTCTACGAGGATACACCGATCAGATGGTGGAAGATGCAAATGCTGTCATATTTACTTTTGGTTCATATCGACTCGGGGTAAGAGATGTTTATATATCTTATCTTCAACCCGTTTTCTTCAGTTTTAGATCTTATGGTGTTGGTTTGTTGCTTGTATTTCAAAGATAAAAGTGTCGGTTTTGATTGTCTATTTCTCAAACTTGTTGCTAGGTTCATGGTCCTGGGGCAGACATTGACACCTTGTGTGTGGGACCTTCATATGTGAATAGAGATGTAAGTTATTTCATTACGAGATTGGAGGATTCTTCATATGCGAATAGAGATGTAAGTTATATCCATTTCTTTTTTTTTATCAGGAGGACTTCTTCTTTGTTTTGCATGAAATCTTGGCAGGGATGGAGGAAGTCACGGAACTTCAACCAGTTCCTGATGCTCATGTTCCGGTCATGAAATTTAAGTTTGACAGGATATCTATCGATCTTCTTTATGGCAGCATCTCTCGTTTAGTTGTCCCAGATGTAAGTTTTCTCGTTTTTTTCCTGTCAATCTGTTTCAAGCTCCTATTGTGCTTGAACTTTACTGTAATGATGAAATTTCTTACAGGATCTCGACATTTCCGATGTTTCTGTCTTGTATGATGTTGATGAACCGACGGTTCGGAGTCTTAATGGTTGCAGGGTTGCTGATCAGATTCTTAAACATGTTCCGAATGTTGAGGTGATCGTCTTACCGATCTTTAATTGAGTTATGTTTTCATTCATCTTGATTGTTTGATTTCTTTTGTTTTCAGCATTTTCGTACAACGCTTCGTTGTCTAAAGTTTTGGGCCAAAAAGCGGGGAGTTTATTCAAATGTAAGTAGTTCGACTGGATTGTGATGGGATTTGATATTTCTTGTGTAATTTCTGTTTAGTAGTTCATTTGGTAATCTGCTTTTAGGTGACGGGATTTCTTGGTGGCGTCAACTGGGCTCTTCTTGTTGCACGGGTTTGTCAATTTTATCCAAATGCTGTTCCGAGTATGCTGGTTTCGAGATTTTTCAGGGTGTATACACAGTGGCGATGGCCGAATCCCGTTATGCTTTGTGCGATAGAAGAGGAAGAGCTTGGATTTGCCGTATGGGATCCTCGAAAAAATCCCAAGGACCGAACCCATCATATGCCCATTATAACGCCTGCATACCCGTGCATGAATTCTAGCTATAATGTCTCGACGAGCACACTCCGTGTCATGACGGAACAGTTTCTGTTCGGAAATCGGATATGTGAGGAGATAGAACTTAATAAAGCACAATGGCCTTCATTGTTTGAGCCGTATATGTTCTTCGAGAGCTACAGAAATTATCTGCAGGTCGATATAGTGGCTGCAAATACCGATGATTTGCGTTCTTGGAAAGGTTGGGTTGAATCTCGTCTAAGGCAGCTGACTTTGATGGTAATGTTGTTTTTTAAAATTCTATCAAGTGATTATGGGTCACATGGCTTTTGGGTAAAATGCCATTTTGATGGGTAATGTCATATGATTTGAATTTTATTTACGGGTTCCTTATTCTGATACAGATTGAGCGAGATACGTTGGGGAAGCTGCAATGTCATCCTTACCCTCATGAATATTCCGATCCTTTGAAGCAGTGTTCGCATAGCGCTTTCTTTATGGGATTGCAGCGGAAACAAGGTGAAGTGATTCAAGAAGGGCAGCAGTTTGATATCCGTGGGACAGTTGACGAGTTTCGGCATTCGGTGAATATGTACGTCTTTTGGAGGCCTGGGATGGAGATTTATGTTTCTCATGTTCGTAGAAAGCAGATCCCTTCGTATGTTTTCCCAGATGGTTTTAGACGTACCCGATTACCCAGGCTCGTAAGTCAACAGACGACGTTGGGTTCTGGTGAGGAACTTTCTAGAAAGAGAAAAGACGAGGGAGAACGTGTGAAACGAGAAAGTTGTCAGAAAAGGCTATCCGGGAGTCCGCAGAGTTGTGATTCAGTTTCGCCTGTGATTGTTAATCATTCGTGTGGTAATGAGTCGAAATATTGTGGGATTGAAGTTGGTTGTTTGCAAGGAGAAGGTCAAATATCGAGCTCGAGTGTAGTGACGAATGCTGTCGGAAAGAATGATCGGGGTGATTCAAGTGAAGCTGATTCTCGGCCATCGGTTGATGGGGGTGACGGCCAGGTGTTTCAAGTTCAGGTTTTGGTTTCTAATTGACGTTGGTTGTGTTTCAATTTTTATAAATCGTCAAACAGGATTTTGGTTTGGTTATTGTTCAAGAAATCCAGGTTCTACGTTATTTAGACGAACATAAGTTTTGCTGATATTTTGATATTTCGGTTGATTTTGTATTATGAAGCCAAAGGTGGAACTCGGGATGGTACTAAATTCCAGAACAGCAGTCGACTTAGAGCAGAAGACGGTTATGAGGCAAGTTTTGGAATCTTTGAAGTGTATATATATATATATATATATATATATATATATGAATGAGGATCACGTGAGACCAACCTGTTTTCGTGAGACCCATGAGACCACTATTTTACACTTGAAACTTCACAGCAATACACTGAAGGTAAAAAAAATTAACCTTCATATCAAAACTCTCACAGTGTTTTGCTGTGAAGCTTCAAGTGTAAACAAGTGGTCTCACTAAAATAACCTGGTCTCTCTCTAGATATATATAGATAGAGAGGGGGTGGGGCGAGGGGGAGGTTCGGGGGAAAACCCTCGTAAATATGAAAAACTAAGGAACAACGTGGTAACCATTCATCTGGATGGTATGCGCAAGTGCATACAAGTAATTGAAGTTGTTCCTTGATATTTATGCATATGTGCATAAGAGACAAATTGCTTACAAATTACTTGTATGCACGTGTATAATGGTTACCAGGGTGTTCATCAGGTTCAGGGGAACACCCTCAAAAAAATGAAAAAACTAAGCAACAACCTGGTAGCCATTCACCGGATGGTATGTGCAAGTGCATACAAGAAATAAATGTTGTTTCTTGATTTTTATGCACATGTGCATAACAGATAAATTGCTTACGAATTACTTGTATGCACATGTGTATATTATCCAAATGAATGGTTACGAGGGTGTTATCAGTTTTACAATTTTTGCGGTTTTTCTCTTAAACCTGGACCTATATATAATATCTGTATACAACAAATACCCACACATACTCGTGGGAGGGTGGGCTCTCCCGGTAATTCAGATGTTCTTTTTTTCCCTTTCAGGTTAGGAGTGACTTCAACAGCTTGAGAGCAGAGCAGAAGGCGGTGGTTATGGTAAGTAATAATGCCATTGGTTGCTTTCACTTGATTATATACCCGGCCGTGATTGTTTTTCAGCACAGTAAGACTACAGGTTTCAAATTCAAGGAGCGAAAATTGGAAGGAGGTCAATGTTTTGCTACTATTTCTTTAACGGTTTGGGGCGAGTCCATGTACAGTTTTTATTTGTCTTAGTATGTTGCAATGGGTAATTAGTTTAGGTTCAATTGAGGCTCTACTAATTATCCGTTTGGTCGGATATCATTTGTCGGGAGTCTGTAGAGAGATGAGCTGAATTTGGTATTTCTTGTAACTTGGATACAATTCGAAATGGCATTAATCTTTCCTTTCTCTTGTTTTTCCGATGATCGGTTTAGAATTGTTCTTCCCTTTTTTCCCTTAAAACCCTAAACCTGAACCAGAATGTGGTTGAATTCCAAACATACACAACAATTATGACCAATGAGTTTATCAGCGCAACGTCTTACAGGGTTTGGACATAACCTGGGACGCTTCTAAAAAACCATAAACTCCATCAAGGAACTTGTCGATAAATCATGACCAATCGTAGAAACATGGCACCAGAAAGGGATATGCAGATGATAATAACATCTAACTTAACATTTCCACAAGTTTTTAGCACTAACCCAGATCAAAAAACTGAAGAAAATTTGCTCAGAAAAACCAATTTTGACAGGTTGATTCTTCAATGGATAAACAAGCCTTCCCAAATTGCTAGTTGATAAATAAAACACATACTGTCAATCCAAATTCTTCATTTACACTGCAAACAGCTACACCTATGCCTTCCATTCACCATCATCATCAATGGTGGATCTTTTCTTGCTTACTTCCCACTGCAATAAAAACCATGAAAAAGTTGGTGCTTGAAAAGAGGGAAGTTCACGACGAATAGGGTTTCACTTTTTAGCCAATTCTTAGCAGAAGGCTTAAGCATATGCATAAGAATTGGTTCTTAGCCACTTTTCTGTGCAAAGAGGTCACTTTCTGCCTAAGGATTGACTACAAAGTGAAATAAAGTCTGAAATAAGGCTAAAAGTAAAACCTCTATGACAGGTTGGTTATTTCTGTAAATTTCTCTTAAAAAAATGCTCACAGGGAAGAGTAACAGAGAAAAGTTGGAACTCACAGCATAGGTTAGAAATCTCAGTACTCCTTATCACACGCAGCCTCTTAACCGTAGAAACAAACATGCTGCAAACCACAAACGATAAGGTCATGAAACAAAGCAGATCGAATATGAGATAAGCCGAATAAATAAAGTATTCAGACGGCCGATCTGTGGTTATATGCAATAATAGAGACACTTGCATTAGTTTATCAAGTGTTAGGCAGTTCAATCTAATAAAACATCATTCTGAGATCATATTCTTTGTTTAGAAGAAGCAAGCATCTTGTGTCCATAATTTAATAAAGGAATGATATGCCAGTGTGGTTTTGGAATCTAAGTGCAGAAAAAACCAAATAAAGTTGGCACTTTTTAGACTTATATGTGGAATAATGAAAAGGGTAGGAAACTAGAAAACAAACTAAGCCAAATAATAAATATCCCACATGGTGAATAGTACTCGAATTTCTAACAAATTTAAGAACGTATGTACTTGATGACTCGAAATTTGTGTGTATATATTAGTGAAAAAAGCATCAAACAGCAAAGTGATGAGATGCTTACTGCCATGGGACATCCCCAACAAGCATCCTGTCTCCTTCGTTATCCTCGTAAACCAGCGTATATTCGCCACTCCCGTCTAACAAGCCCGTGATCGCCTTTTCTTGATCTTGATTGCCAGTAATTTTAGTATCTTTTTGAGCTGTGACAACATTTAACAGAGACATGAAAATAATGGTATAGAAAAGAACCAACATAGGGAAATTTACAAAAATAGCTAATCTCCCAAGCTCTTTTCACGTTTTAGCCATATTCAGACCTCATTTCACTTCGTAGCCAATCCTTGCATATGCTTAAGGATTGGATTTCAGCCACTTTCTACGTAAGGATTCCACTTCTTATGTGCAGAAAAACCAATCATCAAGCATATGAGTGTAAGGATTGGCTACAAAGTAAAATAAGTCTGAAAATGGCTAAAAAGTGAAACCCCTTTGGCAAATCGGCTATTTCTAAAAATTTCTCATACCAACACAATGAAAAAAAACAAATCTTCAAAGATATTTAACCTGCAAGAAGTCCTCTAAAGAGTTCATCAACAGCAATGGAAAGCTTTCCATAGCTGTCATAAGCATTCAGATCAACTTTTCGACCAATCGGGATTCCGTTCATATTGATCTTCACAAAGAACCCTTTTTGGCAACTTTCTTCTACTCTTTTAACAATGTTCTTGTTAGAAATCACCCCATTTTGGGTATCAGGAGAAGGTGCTTGTTTTGCAGAGCTGTTACTTGCAATATTCTTCCTAAATGACCTAATTGGAGGCCATCCCACAACTGGAGCAGGTGCACTTCTTCAAGTTTTACCCAAAAAGTTGAATAACATCAGTACTTAGATAAAAAAGATCAAATCTTTAAAGAAACCCATGAAGTTTATAGCTAGAATTTGATGAATAGTTAGATAAAAAGGTAAAAATCTTTAAAGAACCCATGAAGTTTAAAGCTAGAAATTAAGAAATATTGGTTAAAAACAGACCAGTAGTTTCAGAAATAGTGCAAATTAAATGATTTAAAAAGCAGTGGTAGCAGAGTACAACCATTACTGTCCGAACAAAACAAAACAAAACAAAAATAGATGAGTTGGTGAGTTTCCCCAAAAGAAGAGAGGATTATTATTAGTTTTTAAACAAGAAACAGATACATACAACACAAAATATCAAGAAGAAAAGATATGAAATCCAAAGTGGTGCAGAAATGACAGTATTTCCATGCATGGACAATAGATACAAATCTCTGATACTATTCTCAATTTGGGAGAGAAAATGTGATGAAAAATAATGAAAGGTGATGAACACAAAGTTTAGAAAACCAAAAAGGGTACCTTTTCTGAGAGGTATTGGGGACCTGAACAGCAGCTGCTTTTGATGGTGATTTGTAGTTTTTGGGTGCATCAGAAGAAAGAGACCAATCTTCAACCCCAGGTGGACCAAGCCTTAACTCAAGTTTCTTTTCATCTGAAACACCTCCATGTCCATGTCCATGGCTTCTTCTACTTCCATCTTTATTACAATCATCTTCTCTTTTTAGAAACCAGTTCCTCTCTTTAGGGATCAAATCTAGCAGCTGTGGATGGATCTCTTCATCCATCCTTGAATACCCACTTTCCATTTCTACTTTTTTCTACCAAGATGTTCTCTTTTACTCCAAACCCAGATGGAAAATCACAAAAAACTCTCCTTTTTTCAGTTCTTTAGATCATAAACATGGATATACAGAAGAAAGCAACCCTGAAAACCCCATTAAACAACATTAAACAACAAATAGCAGTGAGATAAAGAATAGACATTATGAAAAAGATGGGAAGATTTACCTCCACATCCTTGAACAAATCCAGCTGTTTTCTTCTGTAAAACCAAGAAAATGGTACAAAGCCCTCCAACTCAAAAGCAAAAGAGATGTGAGCAATAATAACACCTATGCAAATGAAATTAAAACCCCAAGAAACAATAACTGAACTTAAGATGGATGGATGAATAGAGTCTAGAGAAAAAGTTGATTTCTTTTTGGGATTTGCAAGACACAGAATATCTTTTCTTGATTATATATGTATATAACTTTCTTTGCTTTATAGCTATGGCTGTCTCCTCCTGTGTCTAAAGCTGTGTGTCTCAAATCTTGAAGATTGCACAGAAATAGACCAATAGGGAGGAACAGGTAGAAGGATGACTGGAAATGAAGCAAAAATAAGGAAAAGATTATAGAAATCGAAAGAAAAGAGATTCCTTTTTGATACAGAAATAAGGAGCAGTGTGATTACACTACACACGCAACCATTTCCCTCAATATATATGTTGTTTGTTTCAACAAGCAAAGCGTGCCCTTCTTTCTCCCTAAACCAAACACCAAAAAGCATATTATATATATATATATATATATATATATTCCTTTCACATAGTTGTATTGTATGTAGAGGTCTATTTATTTAGAGGTTAGGGGTTTAGAGGGTGACATGCCTCCCTATCTTTCAGCAACTTGGCTTAATATTTTCAGACTATTTTAAAGCACTATTCCTTATACTTTAATTATGTGTTTTTGTAAACCACTAAAACTGAAAGTCATTACACCTTAACACAAAGTTTTAGAAAGGTAATTAACTTATAAATAAAGATTGAATATGAAGCAACTCTTAAGGACTTGTTTGTCAGTTGTTTCATGGTCTTGGTGCCGAATGACTAAGTTATTAGAATGATTAAGAGGCTCTCATGATATAGTGCAAAATGAAATATAATTGTTTGATAATTATTTACAAAAAAATTAGATGGTTAAAGAAGACCCAAAATACAAAATCATACAGAGGGTTTTAGAATCATGCAGACGGATTTTTTTTTTGATCCAGAAGTTGCCTCTTAATGGAACTGTTAAGTGATAAACAAACAACTCCTAACATTCGTGTATCTAAAACTGGTTATTGATATGTTCATCCAGAAACCGATAATCAAACAAACAGTGTTATCTTTTTGGTACTCAATTGGTGGCTTAATAGCGATGAAAATTGTCTTGTCCATTAAGTTGGGTTAATTGACAGTTTTGGTTTTTAATTACTTGTCTTAATCTTATAATTTAAGAGTCATTGACTTTGTTGTCAATCCCATTTTATGTCCCCCTAACTTCATTTTGTAACATTGAAATCAAACTTCACACCATAATTAAAGAAGCTTGTTTAAGATTAAAGGAGAGTAGTTGTAATGTTCCCTTTAAGTCAACATTTGTGAAATGCAATTATAAGTTGTTCATTCAATGAATATTTAAAGGTGATAATATGATTCGTACCTAATTAATTCTTTTAAAGCCCTGTCTCGTAGTCTATTTCTTACCTATTTTATTTGAAAAAAGAGACATCGTATGAATTGTAACTAGAAAGAATAACGTTAAAAGACAAACCGATGATAAAGAAATAACATATGCAAATGAGCATATTAAGTTTTGCAATAAATTAGGGGCTGTTTGGTAGTTGTTGAATGATTAAGTGGTCGGAATGATTAAGAAGCTCCTGTGATATAGTGCAAAATGAAATATAATTGTTTGGTTATTGTTTACAATGAAATTAAGACGTTGAATGGTTAAGAGAAGCCCATGATACCAAATCATTAAGAGGGTTTTAGAACCATTAAGAGACGGACTTTTGTTAAATTTTCGTACTTGTGAAATAGTGTTTCAGTTATAAGATTTATCATATGTTATTGTGTGATCAAAACACACTATTAGTTTTTATGTATCTAAGGCCTTGTTTGTTTTTTATAAAAAACAATTCTTAGTTTTTTATATCTGGTTTTTTAAGAGGTAAGATCATTCAAACTGTTTGTTTTTTTGATTTCTTAGAGACACTTATGTCTTATTTTTCTCTTATCTGATAAGAGGTAAACTAACCTCTTATTTGCCTTTTGTTGTTCTTCAAATACTTAACAACGGCGTTTTCTCAATCGAATAACCTTAATCGATCATTACCAAATCGATCATCACCTCTCTAAATTAATGTATTTTAATAAGATGCAAATGTGTTAAATACTGTTAATGACATATTTTTGTTTAAATGAATGTTAATTATATAATTTAAATGTTAATTATATAATTTAGATGTAAATTTCTCAATGATAAATGAATAAATATGTGAAATTGTATAAATTTATCTATAAATTCAACAATATAATATTTAGTGTATAAAATAGACAATTTAAACAAATTCAGACGTTTATCAGTTTACAAAAACAAACAATATTATTCATTCAGATTTCAGACTTCAACAACTTCTCTTATAAATCAGAATTGAAATAAGGCTTTAGATCTCAACAACTCTTAAAAAATAAACGTCACCTAAAATAATTTTTAGCTTGGTCAAAATAGTATAATACCAATCTTCATCAATTCAAAAAAAAAAAACACACACTAGGTGTAATTTATAATATATCAAACCACAAAAATGTTGTTCGATTGCTTTGAGCTTGGATTTCAAAGGTCAAAAGTGTCTGGAGGTTTTATGTTCGAATCCAAAGATGAATAAAAATCCCCTTGTGACCACTGAGATTCAAATACATTGACTTCGGGCTACCCACGAAACAGATGGTCGTTGTGTGATTAGTCGACTCGCATAGAAGGTTAGATATTCACATTAATATATATATATATAGGGGAGCGATCAAATGCAAACCACTCAATTTGTACAAACCGTGCAAACAGCATTCAACCAATCATAATTTTTCATTTTGTTCATTTTTTTGTAATTATGAGAGGTTGATTAATTATTTTTATTGTGCAGGGTGTTAATCATAGATATTATCATCTTCATAATTTTAATTTTAGAGAAATACATGAAACAATTTCATTAATGTTAGAGAAATACATGAAACAGTTTCATTAAGTATTATATTAAACAA